GAGTTGCCCATAATCCCACAGCAAAGCCCACACTTGAGCTAATCTGGGCCCCTCCTCCAAGCTTTCCTGTTAGCTGTGCTTATCATTAAGAGCTTTTGGTTGGAGGCTGGGGTTGTGGCTCAGTGACAGAGTGCTTGCCTCGCACCTGTGAGGCACTGGGTTTGATCCTTAGCACCACATAAAAATAAACAAACAAAATAAAGATATTGTGTCCATGTATAACTAAAAAATTTTTTTTTAATTTTAATATTTATTTTTTAGTTCTCGGCGGACACAACATCTTTGTTTGTATGTGGTGCTGAGGATCAAACCCGGGCCGCACGCATGCCAGGCGAGCGTGCTACCGCTTGAGCCACATCCCCAGCCCCTAAAAAAAACAAACTTTTGGATGGGTGTAATGGTGTACTCCTGTAGTGCCAATACCTCAGGAGGCTGAGGCAGGAGGATTGAAAGTTTGAGGCTAGTGTCAGCAACTTCACGAGACCCTGCTTCAAAAAATAAAAATGGCTGGGGATATGGCTCAGTGGTAGAGCTCTTGCCTAGCATATTCAAGCTCTAGGTTCAATCCCTAGTACCACCAGGAAAAAAAAAAAAAAAAGTTTCTTGGAAAGAAGACTCTCCAGGGTCTTCATTTTCCAGCCTGGAAGGTATTTAAAGGTGCCATGAGAAGAACATAACTGTGGTCACAGAGAGATTGAGGCAGAGCCAGAGCTGGCCCCAGGTCCCTGACTCCCAGCCCTCGGCTCCAGCCATAGCACTGTGCCAACACTCACCAATCTCCTGCCCCCAGTGAGCCCCATCATGAAGGCCACAGCAGAGGCCACTCATGGCTTTCACACCCAAACTTAAATTCCTGGTCTCCTTGCTGGTGCCCTCTTCTCAGAGATAAGTGATTATGGGTGGAGCCAGTGAGACCCAGAGGCAGCACACCCCCCTTTTCCAGCAAAGTCTGATCTCCACCCGGATCTGTTGGTCCTCCACAGTGGGCACTAGCCAGGTTCTATTCCTTAATTGAGTTTGGGAATGGGGATTAGTTCCAGGGACTCCTTAGGGGTGGCAGTGCTGTCAGGATTGTAATTAGATGGGGCTCAGGGCCACATACCTGTCATCTGCCCCTGCCCACCCTTGCTCTTCTCCCTCTGTCAGCATCGGAGCCTTCGTGAAGACCTGGCTGCCCTTCGTCCTCCTCCTGGGCATCATCCTGACCGTCAGCCTGGTCTTCAACCTGCGGTGATAGCTGCCACACAGCCTCAAGCCCACCAGGCTTCCAAGGAAGAAGCCCCTTATGGTCCCAGATTCTTTCTCCTCACCCCCAAAGGCAGGGGTAGCCTGCTCTGTTGGACTTGGGGACTGGGAGGGTGGGATGAAGGGTCTGAGAATGAGTGTAGGGCAGGGCTCTCTGCTTGTTGTATCTCACTGGCTACTCAGAAGCTCCCTGCCCCCTTCCCCTGGGCTTGTGACCCTGCCCTTGAAGCACCCTCTTGTCCCCCTGTTGGGAAGACCCTGCCTGCTGTAGAGCTCCTTTTGCCACAGCCCAGTGCTCACTGTGGACAAGGACCCACCAGACAAGGCAGCACCCTGACCAGAGGTGGATTAGGAACCTGCCCTCTGCCCAGTAGCTCTGGTTCTGAGGTGGGATAGGGTGTACTACTACCCTGGAGCCTTCCCCTTTGGCCTCTAGAATGTTCCAGAAGGCTAGATAGGTCCTTCTTTTAGATATCTGCCAGAAGCTGCACTGGGATGCTGTGCCCATCTGCTGGTGCCCTCCAACCCATGCAGCCTCCTCTTCCCCCTTTCCAGGACCTCCCAGCAATTGGGCCCATCTCCCCTGCAGTTTGGGGCCTGGCTGGTAAGGTGAGTGAAGCTGACATGTGCAGAGTGGCTCTGTATACCAGGTGATGTAGACCCACTCTTTGTCCCCTTGGGGCCAAAGTCAGTGCCGTCAGGTAGCAGGAGACAGGCTGTTTCCTCCCATCTGACTACAACTCCCCACTTAAAGCTGTCAGAAAAGGCCCTGTACTGCCACCTCACCCCACTGCTCCATGGGCTCCTTTGTGAGGGGCTCCCTAGCAGGATAATAAAAAGTTTTGAGTTGAGGTGGTACCTGTCCTTGTTTTCTCCCACTCTGCGGCCCCCTCACTCTTTACCTGGTTATATTCTTTGTGTCCTTGGTATCTCTACCCCTGGCAAGAGATCTAGTTGCCAGTGCCACAGCTGTCTGTGTTCAGTGCCTGGAGCTCACAGGGACATCAGCATCCCTCAGTGATCTCCAGGTTATGGGAATTGCCCACATTCCAGGACCATCATTCCAAGCTCTCTCCTGGAAGCAAGTGAGTATTGAAACCCCTCTCAGATTCTTTGGGGAAGAGCTTTGCAGAAGGATTGGTGTTAGAACTGAGCAGGCTTTTCAGTGGGTAGACCAGAGCCCTAGGGCTGCCCCTCAATCAGGAGTGCCCAGTTTGGAGTAAGCTAAGAGAATTGGCCAGCCATATCCATCTGTCAGATGGCTGGACTTCTTGTGCTGACCCCCATGTTCATGTCCCTGGCCTCTCCTTGTTACCGCCCCCCAATCTCTTGCTGCTGCCCTTCAGCTTCTGTGCTCTCTACACCCTGCAGTGCTCACCCAGCTTTGGTCCTTTACTTTCTGAAACCTGTTGAGAAAGCCCAGCTTAAAAACTGCCTTCAGAGCTGGGGGCATAGCTTAGTGGTAAAGCAGTTGTCCAGCATGTGTGAGGCCTGGGTTTCATCGCCAGCACCTCAAAAAGCAAAATGAAACTGCCTCCTCAGCAGGCTGAGCTATGTCACTTCAGATGAACTAGTGAGAAAGTGGTTAGCATTTTGAGGGTCCTTTGTGCTAATCCAGAGGGCACCTTGAGGACAGGCATTAGCTGCTGGCCCCAAGGCCCTGGGTCAGTGACAGCCAGCTCACTCCAGACCCAGCAGTATTGTGGTTCCAAGCCTGGATCTTGCACATTGGGGTCCATCTGAGAGTTGATTGGGGACAAGAAAAAAGATACTGAGGACAGCCATAGCACAATAGACAGGCTGTGCATGATGGTGTTTGCCTATAACCTAGCAACTGAAGAAGCTAAGGCAGGATCACAAGTTCAAGGCCCCGCTGGGCAACTTAGATACTGCCTTAAAATTTAAAAGAGGGAGGGCTGGGGATGTGGCTCAAGCCGTAGCACGCTCGCCTGGCATGCGTGTGGCCCGGGTTCGATCCTCAGCACCACATACAAACAAAGATGTTGTGTCCGCCGAAAACCAAAAAATAAATATTAAAATTCTCTCTCTCCCTCACTCTCTCTTAAAAATAAATAAATAAATAAATAAAATTTAAAAAAGGGTCTGGGGATGTAGCTCAGTGGTAACCCCTGGGTTTGATCCCCAGTACCAAAAACAAAAGAACAAGAAAAAATTTTAAGGCCTGCTCCATTCAGCCCAGCAAAAACTAGAATTTGCCTTGGGGCGACAGGATGTAAAAATCATCACGGGCAGGCACTGCTAGAGGCATAGCTCAATGGTAGAGTGCCTGCCTGGCATGTGTGAGGCCTGAGGTTCCATCCCAGCACCACACATGAACACACACAAACCAGTTAATGAGAGCTTACTACATGCTAGGCCTTGAAATGAAGTACTGTTGTTATTTATCCTCACAGCAGCCCTATAGGATGGGTGCTGTCATCACCATTTTACAGATAAAAAAACAAGCACAGAAAAATAAAGGGACATGGTCAAGGTTTTGGAGGTAGAAAGAGGAACCATGGTTCAAACCCAGCAGCCTGGCTCTAGAGCTTCCCCACCCCACAAACCACCCCGAAGGTACATTAGCTAGAGCCCAAGGAGTGAAAGTGGGGAGAGGCTGTTTCTCTGGAGGGCGAGTGCTGTGACCAAAAAGAGGGAAGAGTAGGAGCTGGAATTGGAAGCACTCCTCACAACAGTCCTGTAAGATGGCTGCTCTTGTCCTCTACAATGAAAACAAGGCTGGCCGTAGAGCCCAGATCTGCTGGCCTCTAGGACACTGCCTCTTCCTTGGGGCATTGCCTGGAGACCAGCCAGAGGGCAGAGATAGTCATGGGGGGTCAGGGATGGCTGCCAAGACTTTATCAGCTAGGCAGGGAACACAAAAGGACCAGAGGTGTTGGAAGAACAGGAAGAAGAATCTAAGGTTCTAAGGGTATGTGTGACAAAGAATAGAGCCAGATTTACCATGGTAATCCTGAGGGTCACGCTGAGAGGGGTTGGACAGCCCACAATGGAGGGCCGTCTATCTTGGAAGGCAGGGAGACTTCAGTCAGCAAAAGTGCCAAAGGAGGCTGGACTGGTGATGGCTACTGGCACCTTCCAAACCTAAGGAATGACAAAAGTATGTTCAGAAAGGACCTCTGACAGTTGGGCAATAAAGGGGTGGAAGGCCAGGTGGGGCTGCATGGAGACCAGAGGAGGAGGCTCCCAGAAAAGGCTGAGGAGGTGGGTGGGGATGTGGCTCAGTGGTGGAGTGTTTGCCTAGCACATGTGAGGCACTGGGTTTGATCTTCAGTATCACATAAAAATAAAGATATTGTGTCCATCTACAATTAAATATGTGTGTGTATGTGTTTGTGTGTATGTGTATGTATGTATGTGTATTTTTTTTTTTTTTTGAAAAGACTGAGCAGGGGCTGAGGCCAGGGCAGCAGGAAGAAAGACAGAGACTAGCCAGGAGGGGACAGTGCCTGGAATGTCAGGGGCAGCCTCTGGTGATGTAGGAGACCTGGGGGCCGGGGTGATCCTGAGGGTGGTGGGAGCCACTTACAGGAATGGGAACTTGGAAGGGGGGCTTCAGATGAGGAGGTCAAGCTGGGCTTGGTGGTGAATACCTGTAATCCCAGCGGCTCAGGAGGCTGAAACAGGAGGATCATGAGTTCAAAGCCAGCCTCAGCAACTTAGTGAGGCCCTAAGCAACTTAGAGAGACCCTGTCTCTAAATAAAATATGAAAAAGGGCTGGGGATGCAGCTCAGTGGTTAAGTGCCCCTAGGTTCAAACCCTGCTACCAAAACAACAAAAAACACAAGAGAGGTCATAGGCATCGGACTGTATTGATGCCTGGCACCTACTACATGCCTGTTTATACCAGACCCTTTAATTTCTCTTATAGTAGGCTCCTTGCATGCTGCTATCTAATTTGCATAGGAGGAAATTGCAGCTCAGAGAGGTTAAGAGACCTGCTGAAGATCACACAGTGGCAGAGCAGGGACTCTGCTAAAGATTGTCTAACTTCAAAGTCTGCAATCCTTCCATTACCTCTGATTCTTAGAAAAGTGGCTAACATTGCTTTCAAAGTAATTTCCAATCAGCTCCTCCGTGGGCAAGATAGGTTGCTACTCATTAGTAAGACAGGTGAGTCAACTCTGCTGGGGCCAGGGCCTCCTTGAGTTACCAGGCGAGTTTACCATAGAGCTAAGTCCCAGGCTTGGCAGGCCCACCAAACCGGCTCTGGGTTCTCAAACTCATGGCAGGCACACCCGGGAGCCAGTAGTCCAGGCCCGGTTTTGCACCAGGCCCTGCTGAGGTGTCTCCTCCTCCTCCCGCCACCCCTCTGGCTGGGGCAGCTGCTTGGCTGGGCAAGTCAGCCTTAGTCCCCGAACTGCTCTTCTGATCCCTGAAACTCTGCTGCCAGAGGAGCCAGAGTCACCCAGGAAGGTGTCCTCCTGTGTTGGACCCCGACAGGTAACACCTCGGTGCCGGAGCCCTGCCAGTATCCTGAGGGGCAGGCACTGCCACCTGGTATCCTGGGCACCCTCTGGCACCTCGGAACCTTGAGGGTGGGGGAGGCAAGAGCAAGTCTGGGACTGGCCTGGCCAGGCAGATGGACCAATGGGTCTGTCCCATAGGTTGAAACAGCAGGGAGGACCATGTATTTGATTTGACTCTGGAAGGAGAGGGGACTTCAGGAAAGAGGACAAAATGGGCTTGGATGCCCATGACCCAGCCCAGCAAACCTGTGGGACAAGGGCAGACTCAGTTCTGCTAAATATCTCCCTCCTTCACACTCAGACACACACCTGGTGGCTCTGGGCCACCCGAGTACACATAACACAGCTGGGTCTTGAAGACAGCACAGGAGGAAATGCAGAGTGCACACACCCACACAGCATTGTCACCCAGAAAGTCACTGAACACACCAGACAATCTAGTCAGCCATGTAGTATCACGCGGCAACGTGACACACAGACACACACATAGACCCCACAGCACACAGACTTGGCCACCACTCCAGACCGCACAGCTCCACAGTGAGACACAGAGATGGAAAGGCTCATGAGCAGCAGCCAACAGCTTGGGTACAGTAGAAGTTCAGGAAAACTGTCACTACTGAGTCCACAGATATGCAGAAACCCCAGGCTCCCCAGGTGGGCATCAAGCGGAAAGCGTTGCTCCACTTGGACACTGACTCACTTGGGAGGGGACAGGGTGCAGGAGGTGTCAGGCACAAGCCAGGACCTGCCTCTGAGCCGCCCTCTTCACATCTCAGCCCCACCTGGAGCCCTGGCATGGAATGGGTGGGGAGGAGAGGAGAAACCACCCTGTGGGTTCAGGCCATGACCGTGACTGAGTCTTGGGCCCCTTGCCATGTCCACATGCCCCTCAGCTAGGCAAATGTTTTCCTTCCGGAGTCACAGTGGTGCTTGGGCATGAGCTGCTTAGCCAGCCTAGGCCTCTGGCCAGATCCTGGGGTGGGAGCTGCGGGAGCCATGAGGCCCAAACAGAGGGGCCCAGGGACTCTGGACAAAAGGGCAGGGCTAGCGGCAGGGGCATCCCTGGGATGATGGCCTCAGTGGGAGTGGGTGCTGCGGTTACCTCTCGGGGAGGAAGTTAGGGGTGTAGGCTGGGGAGGAGGTTGCCTCAGACAGGAAGGCCAAATGGGCCAGGGCAGGGTGGAGGTGAAGAGTGGGGGAGAAACCCAGGTTGGGAGGTTCCCCAAGTAGGGGGATAAGCAGGTGTGTATACCTGCATCTGTGTGTGTGTGTGTGTGTGTGTGTGTGTGTGTGTGTGTGTGTATATAAGCGCGCACACATGCATTCCTAAGTGGGCAGGTGTATTTTTACATTTAATTAGCAAACACTTATCAATTGCCTGTTGTATGCAAAGTACTGGCTTTGAGGGGCATGGTCTATCCCTAACTTCAAGGAACTCACAGCCTAGTTAGATGGGTGATATGTGTGGGATGTCCATGGGATTTTGTGGACATCCAAGGTCATGTGTTTGTTTCCCGGACTCATTCTAGTATAGATGAACCCGTCTGGGTGGGCCTCAGTCTCCATCTGTGTGCACATGCTGTGTGCTGGGTTAGGAATGTGTGTTGCACAGTCCTTAGGCACAGGTCTGTGTCTGTGTCTACACAAGTCCCTTCATGGGGGAATAGGTGTGTGTGTGCCTGTCATTATCAGCTGTCAATGTGCATGTGTGACTAGATATCTGTGCCCACATGGATCAGTGTGTGTGTGACCTCTGTGGTTCTCTATCTCTAGAGGTGTGTACATGTGTCTCCACACACTCCTTTGAGTGTGTCTGTTTTCATGGCCATGAACACCCCTCAAGTCACCTTGACCCCACCCTTCCTGAGATTGTACATGCTGCCTGGGCATATATTTGGAGAGAAAAGGGCAATTAGTTCCAGGATGCGCTATGGATTTGGAAAGAGGTTGATCTTAACCTTGGTCTGCCCCTAGGAAGCCACGTGAGCCCAGCTGGGGTGCAGCCCCAGCCGATGCCCCAGTGGGCCACCCTTCTCAGGAGAGGCTTCAGGCTCTACCCTCTCTCCCATGGCACATGGACCAGAGCCTGAAGCCGAGGGACTTTTGGACCTCAGCTTCCTGACAGAGGAGGAACAGGAGACTATTGCTGAAGTCCTCAAACGAGATGCCCACCTGCGCCAGCTGGAGGAGGGGCGGGTCAGGTGAGGCAGGGGCAGCCACCAGCCAGGAGGAAGGGGCCTCAGGCACTTAGAGGCTCTCATAGCCCCAACTCTGCTCCCTACCTGCATGCTGCCATCAGATGTCTAAGCCACTCTTTGTGTCGCCCTTTGGTTCCCTCTGCCCTTGGCCAGCTCAGGGACCATCACCTCTCCCAGAGTAGCTGAACCAGCCCCCTCACCAGCCTTCCTGCCTCCAGAAGTGCCTCTTCCAGCCACCCACCTTGAGCTGAAGCTCCTATCCTTAATAACCTCTTGCAAACGCCCCTGGCCCCCAGCACCTCGGGTCAAATACAATCTCCTAAGCATAGACCATGAGGCCTCTCCAACTGACCCTTGCCAACCTCCCTCATCCCATCTTTTCCCATAAGTCCCACCCAACACAAATACACAGTATCCTCTGCAGAAGTGCAGGTGTTCCCCAGATCCTGACAACACCCTGCTTCTCCAAGTCTAAGCTAGGTGGCTTCTTCAGAAGAGCACAGTGGCAGAGGAGCATGGGAGTGACAAGTGTTTGAGGAGAGATACTTCCTAGATATGTAACCTTGGGTAACTTACCTGACCCTGAGCACCAGTCTCCTCATCTGTAAAATGGGGCTATGGAGTCTTCTCTTAGAAAAAATATGCAACTATGGTCCTCAGTAACCACTTAATGAATAACAGTTACTACCCTTCTCTACCCAGAGAACTCCAATTTGTCCTTTAAGAAGGAATTCAAGGGCTGGGGCTGGGGCTCCGTGGTAGCGCACTTGCCTGGCATGTGTGAGGCACTGGGTTTGATTTTCATCTCCACATATTAATAAACAAAATAAAGGTCTATCAACATCTAAAATATATATATTTTAAAAAAGAAGGAATTCAAATGTCACCTCCGCTGGGAACCCCTCTGAGAGAGCTGGTCACAGAGAGGAGACTCTTCTTACATTTATCACTGCATCTACCTCACCATATTGTACTTGTCTAGTCTGGATTTGGTTTCCCCAGAGGCCTGAGCTCCTCCAGAGCAGGTGTCAAGTCTGATTTGCTATTGAGTCCCTGGTCCCTGGTAAAGAGCTGCTACAGAGTGGAAGGCAGAAAGGTTGGCTGGGTGAGGAGTGACATCCATGCCCTCTCCTATCCTCCAGCAAACTCCGGGCCTCACTGGCAGACCCAGGGCAGCTGAAGATCCTGACAGGTGACTGGTTCCAGGAAGCACGCTCCCAGCGGCACCACCATGCCCACTTCGGCTCTGACCTTGTCCGAGCCTCTATTCGCAGGAAGAAGAGCTCCAGGGGTGAGAGGGGGTCCTGCCTTCTGCAGTCCAGGCTGTATGTGGACAGAGAGGCCCCTTGGGCTCCAGTCCAGATTTCCTCTAATACTGTGTGTCTTGGGTGGGCACTGCCCCTCCATGGCCTGTGGGAGGTGGGTGGGCATCTCAGGGGACCTCTCTGTGGGTCACAGACTTTATGAGAATGGAGCTCACAGAACTTCTCACCTGGGCCCAGGAGAACAGGTTCTGGGCAGTGATGGGGAGGCTGAGGCTGCCGGGAAAGAGACTGAAGAGGAGCCAGAACTCAGGTGAGGAGGTGTCACAGAGAGGAGAAGTGACTGGTAGTTGCTCAATCCCTTCTGAAAACCACCTCTCCTTCCTCCTAGGCTCCCCATAGAACAGGTCCCTCCAGAGAGGCTCAGTGAGACACAGGTGAGCATGGAATGACTGAGAATTATCATAGTGCGCAGTGCCTGAGAGGGGAGGCAAGTGTGCTGGGAAAGAAGCCCCCAAGTCAGGAGACCTTGGACACACTCCTTCCCTGCTCTGGGTCTCAGCAACTTCCTTGGTAAAATGGTATGGACCGGCTATTAACAATGGGTGGCACAGCCAGGTCCAGTGGCACACACCTGTAATCTCAGAGACAGGAGGCTGAGGCAGGAAGATTGCAAGTTTGAGGCCAGTCTTAGCAACTTATCAAGGCTCTAAGCAATTTAGTGAGACACTGTCTCAAAATTTAAAAAGGGCTGGGGACTTAGGTCAGTGGTCAAGCTTCGATGAGTTCAATCCCCAGTACCAAAAAGAAGGAAGGAAGGAAGGTAGAAGGGACAGGACTGGGTGAGTCCAGAGACTCAGGTACTACTGCCCCCAACACCAGAACCTGGGAGCAGGCAGACCCATTCGGAGGGGCAGGCCCCAGGATGTGAGGGTGGGAAGTACCGGCCTGACTGGTCCTGCAGGCAGTTGCCAACCTGAGGGCTGCCCTAAATCTGCAGCTGGGGGAGCCAGGCTGGAGTCTCTGATATTTGACCCCTGTATGACTTTTGGCTCCTTCTTATTTAGTCCCCACTGTGACCTCTGCTGCTTGCTTTCTTCAGGGACCTGCTGTCCCTTCACCACATGCCCCCTCAAAGGCGTCAGATCATCAGGAGGCCCAGGCCCAGGGAGGTAAGTGGGAGCCTGTGTTGAGAACAGAGCTTACGGGGTTCAGAGGCAGCTCGTAGTGACCCCAATTACCAGGTTCACCTTCCACCGCGGCAGTCCCCCTCTGCGCTGGGACCCCTGTGGCCTCCTTGGGCGACCCCTGGGTAGCACTGGGAACAGAGTCTGCAGGTCACGGGGGCTGTGAACCAATCCCTTCAGACCGTTTGCTCAGGGCGGGCAAGACAGGGGCTCACTCAGCAGCGGGTGCCTCACCCAGCCCCTGGCCGAGGGGGCGTGCAGGTGGACGCCGAGGAAACTGGCCTGGCGTGGAAGCCCTCGCCGCAGGCGGAGAAGGAGCCGCCGCCCCCGCCAGCTCAGGTAGGCGGGAGCGGCTCGCGGTTGTTCTCAAGACCCGGAGCGGACTCCGGGCTGGCAGTGCTCCTGCCCCGGGCAGCGAGCCGTCGGAGACCCCGCCCTGGCGAGGGAGGCGCGGGGAAGAAGGGGGTGCCCAGGTCACTTCACCCCTCTCCAGACCGAGATGGCATCCGAGATCCTGCAGAACGGGGAGGAGGATCCGGGGCGCGGCCCCTCACTCGACCGCATGCTCAGCAGCAGCTCCTCCGTGTCCAGCCTCAGCTCCTCCACGGTGAGGGGGAGGGCCTGGGGTCCCTCTCCCCCACTCATATCCCGAGCTAGCCCCTGCCTGACCCTCCCTCACCCCGGGACCTGACACGCCAGCCCGCAGGCTTTCCCCTCTTCCCTCGCTTTCCCCTCTTCCCTCGCTTCCCGCTCCATGCCCCCTGTGAACCCCCTGCGCTGCCCCAGCCCCGACGCGGCCCGGTCCCTGACACTCACCCCTTCCACAGCTGAGCAGCAGCCAGATGAGCCTGTCGGGGGAGGTGGAGGCGGGCGCGGTGCAGGTGCAGGTGCGCGGCTCTGTGCACTTCGCGCTGCACTTCGAACCCGGTGCCTCCGAGCTGCGCGTGCACGTGATCCAATGTCAGGGCCTGGCTGCCGCCCGGCGCGGCCGCTCCGACCCGTGAGTGACGGGCCGCCCCAGGTGGGGAATGGGGCGGCGGGGTATCCCGGGCAGGGCCGGCGCTCCAAGGGGCCGCTCTCACAGCTCAGCCCACCATCAACTGTCCTTGGCCTCGGTTTACTCAAATTCAAAATGGGAACGACAGTTAGGGGGAAGCATCTCTATAAATCAGCAAGAGGCCAGGCACACAAATGCTGTGTCCCAGGTGGTGGCTGGGGAAGCCGCCAAAGAAGGGTAGAGGCCCTGGAGGGCCCTTGCTTACCTCTGGCTCTCGCCTCCCTCGCCCCAGCTACGTCAAAAGCTACCTCCTCCCAGATAAACAGAGCAAGCGCAAGACGGCGGTGAAGAAGAGGAATCTGAATCCGGTCTTCAACGAGACTCTCCGGGTGAGGCTGCGACGAGGGTGCCACTAATGAACAGGGTGCCCCTTCCTGCGGGCAGGATGGCAGGGCCTGCCAGTTCCGACCTTGCGGGTCTTTCCACTCCTCCATTCTGCGAGAGGAACGAGAGGAACGGCAGGGAAACCGCCTCCCCCAGAGTGTCAGTTTGTGCTGGGCCTAGGGCTAGTCCAGACTCCCACAGTGCCCTCGGGGCTCCCCAGAGCTCCACCCGGTGTAAAGCACGGTAGATCCAGCTTAGTCAACACTCCAGCGACACCGGTGCCGATGCCGGTGCCGACGCCGGGCCGCCCGCGGGGCTCCACTAAAGCGCACTCCTGTCCCCAGTACTCCATCCCGCAGGCCGAGCTCTCGGGCCGCGTCTTGAGCCTGTCGGTGTGGCACCGGGAAAGCCTGGGTCGCAACATCTTCCTGGGCGAAGTCGAAGTGCCCTTGGACACGTGGAACTGGGACTCGGAGCCTACCTGGCTCCCCCTGCAACCCCGAGTAAGCCAGGCCTGCGCGGGGAGACCCACGGCACAGAGCTCACGTTACCCCACGGACTACCCCCCTCCTGCCCGGTCCCCTCAGCCCTGGCCTCATACAGAGCCTCCCTTCCGACAGACACCCTAACCGCCCCGGGCAGGGCAGGCGGGCCACGCCCCTTCGCAAGGGGGAGTCGAGTGTTTGCAACCCTCCAGCCCCTCGTAGAAGCCCCGCCCCTATCGCCTGGCCCCGGCTAACCCCACTCTCTCGGTGTCTGGAGACGTCACTCCTTCCTCTCTTTCCCCTGGCCCCACTCCCCCACACCCCCTCTGACTCTTGCAGGTGCCCCCCTCTCCCGATGACCTTCCCAGCCGCGGGCTGCTCTCCCTGTCCCTCAAGTACGTCCCTGCCGGCTCTGAGGGTGAGTGGCCGCCCCAGGAGAGGCCAAGCTGGACCGGCCTGGGAGGTGGGAGATCCCTGAGCCATGAGCCATGAGGAGGTGGCCTGAGCCGAGCCCTTCCGCAGGCGCGGGACTGCCTGAGAGCGGGGAGCTGCACTTCTGGGTGAAGGAAGCTCAGGACCTCATCCCGCTGCGCTCAGGATCCCTGGATACGTACATTCAATGGTGAGCGGCACTGAGACTTGGACTTCGCTGCTTCACTTTGGCTCCAACCTCGGATCAGCCTCTACCTTCAACCCCTGATCAGTCAGCCTCGGTTGTGATCACCGAGCAGGGGTGAAGGGGACGGCTGGAGCAAAGGCCAGGAAAGTTGAAGATGCCTGAGGAGCTGCGTTTCAGGGTGACTGTTGCCTTCAGAGCTGACTGGGGAGCTAAGCCGAGGCTACTGGGGCACCTCCATGGAGAACTTGGAAGGCCTCTCTGTGGGGCTTGGTCCTGAATTGTAGTTCAGTGGTTCTCAAAATATTCTGGGGGATCTCTAGGGGCCTTCTAGGTGCTGTCCCACCTTCAGAGAGTGAAATGGAGGTAGGTTCATCAGATTCTGAGTCTCCCAGCCCATTCTATATATATATTTTTTTCAATTGTTACAAGCAATATTTTATTTTGCAGAAAGGGCTCCAAGGTTTTGAAATTTTTCAAACTAATTTGGGGAGGGTGGTGGAGGGATCAACAGGGAGCCAGTGAAGGTCACTGAGCCAAGGAGTGGCAGAATTGCATTTCAGAGGCCACTCTGGGATCCTGTGAACAGAAGTTATAAACTTAAAGGCAGGAGACCAGGTGCAAAGACGGTCCCAGGGCAGTGCAGGCTTGGAGGGCAGGTCTCAAGCAGGAGCCAGGGGACATGGACATATGTGAAGGAGAATAGGTACAACTCCATGATTGGTTGTCTCTAATGAGTGTGAGGGGTTGGTGACCTGATGCCAGCCTACTTCCCCCACAGCTCAGTGCTGCCTGATGACAGCCGGGCCAGCCGACAGCGTACAAGGGTGGTTCGACGCAGCCTCAGTCCAGTATTCAACCACACCATGGTTTACGATGGCTTTGGGCCTGCTGACCTGCGCCAGGCCTGTGCTGAGCTTTCCCTCTGGGACCACGGGGCCCTGACTAATCGCCAGCTGGGGGGGACACGCCTCAGCCTAGGTACTGGTAAGTAGAGCAGGGCCCTAAGGGGAGCCAAATTGGGAAGCAGGAGCTCAATGCTTTGCCTTGGGCACTTCTCTGCTCTTTCCTGGTGACTAGGTACTTTGCATAATTTGGGACCAGGCAAGTGTTTCCTGGGACATGAGATGTCTAAGGTGACCATGCCTTTCACTCTTGCCCGGGAACATTTAGGTAGCAGCTATGGGCTCCAGGTACCCTGGATGGATTCCACACCTGAGGAGAAGCAGCTGTGGCAGACACTCCTGGAGCGGCCATGTGAATGGGTGGATGGCCTTCTACCCCTCAGAACCAACCTGGTCCCCAGGGCATAGCCCCATCAAATCTCTCTCTCTGGACTCCCCTCTCAGAGCCCACCCTTGGTTAGAGTCTATTAATAAAGTCTGTTCTAAGGACAATTGCGGCTGATGTCTGCTGGTGAGTGGTGGCTACAATAATAAGGTGTTAGCAGAAAAGATCCAGGTAGATGAAAGGGGTGAGATTAAGGAATCTCAGATTCAAACACAAAGACCTCGAGGGGCTGCTCCCAGGACACCCACCATGCACCTCCGAAGTTGCCGAGACAGGAATATGAAAGAGTTCTGTTTAATAGTCTTTGGTTGTGCTTGTGCTTGGATGCCTCCGTAGTTTGCTCCCCCCACCAGTGCTAGGTCTGGGCACTACCCTGCCCCATTTGCTTGGTCTTCTGCTCTTGCCCCTGGTCCTGCGCAGGTATGTCAGAGGCTGCTCAAGTCTTCTCTGTCCATCTGTCCATGGGTCTTTTCTGCCTCTGATGCCTTCATTCAGACTCCCAGGGTCCAGGGGTAACTGGTGCAGATCCTGCTCGCTGTGCCAAAATGCCTCTCCAGATGCGGCATACCATCCCTCCCCTGGGGACAGCAGGCTCAATGTGGCTCAGTCAGAAGAAGGCCCCAGCTCTCTCTGGAACCCACTATCTGCCCAATGCTCCATCTGTCCCCAGGGACCCCTGGAACCCCTGTGATTCCCAGGGAGGAACTTAGGGAGGACTACAGGTAGGGATCAGGATCTGGCCAGCATAAGGCCATGCGTGTTGTTCACCCCTGGAGGCCCAGGATGTACCTGATGCCGGTATAGAGGAGGTCATCTCGAGTGGCACAGGTGAGCAGGGCACGGAGGGTGAAACTGTGGTTCAGCAGCTGTTTGTGGACAAAGACCCAAAGAAATATGGAGAGATAAAAACTACAGGAAGATATGTCCAGAGACCTAGGTACTAGATTGTTCTATCAAAATGCTAAGGTGGATCATACCCCTTTCTGGCCCTCATTTTCCCCATCATATATACAATGGAAGGAAAATACTTCCAGCCTTAAGAAGAGGGAAAAGTGAGAAGAGATGGACTACTGGTTGTGGGGGTCAGGGATAATCCAGCATGTTCCTCTCACCGTTTGGATGGTGCCTGAATCCACCTTTAGCCCCTGTAACCACTGCACCAAGCCCTGGTCCTTTGGGAGGGCATCTGTCAAGAAGTCAGGTGAGATGATGAGCCTCCTGCTAAAGACTTCCTCACACCCACCAGTAGTGACCTCCAGCCAGGTCCACTCGCCTGGGGGCTCTGAGATGAGGGCATAGGTCCTGGCCTCTGCATTCACCCGATGTAGAGTCTGGTATATCAGGGCCTGGCACTCCCGTTCCTTCTCTGCCAGGACCTCCCGAAGTCTGTGGAGGGCAGGAGAGCAGAATGGAATGGTAAGTGGGTTGAAGCTGACAGATTCCACGTGCCCTTCCAAGGGGACTTACCTGTCAGTCTCTGCCCGCAAGAGGCCCAACTGTACTATCAGAGGAGGCGGGCCTTGCTCTCCTTCTGTGAGTCCACTACTCCGCAAGACAGGAGATTCTTGTTGCTTCTGCTGAGACTCCCCTTCTTTACTCAATTCCCCTGAGACTTCCTTCTTCTCTACCTCTGCCAATCCAAGTGGGGTGAGCTCAAGCAGTAGAAAGTCACCCCTTTAGGACCCCCAGATCCCACGGCAGGGGAATTAAGGGAGAGCACCCAGCTCTGGATAGTGACCAAGTGAAGCCAGTCTGGGAGATGTCCATTATGCACTCCTGGACGGGTTCCTTCCCACCTCCCTGAGCCTGGTCCCTACCAGCCTCATTATGTATTTGCCACGCCTCCAAGGGTCACACCCTCGCTCACAGGCTGGCAGGCTCCAGCCCACTCCTACCGGGGTCCAGCACCGCCAAGGCTGCCCGCACAGCGCGGCTGAGCAGTGAGTCCAGCACAAACATCCAGTGTGGGCGGATCTGGCGCCTGCGGAGGATCTGCTTCACCTGAAGAGGGAGGAGGACGCAACTGAGAAGCTGAGCCTAAACTGGAGCTGGAGCTTGAGTTGGAAAGGCCTAGAAACTCTAGGCAAAGGAGGTGGGAGGACTTGATGTCAAGGGATGGGCTGGGAAGCAGGGCTGGGCAGACAGCCGCCTCCACGGAAGAGACTAGAATCCTGGAACATCAAATCCTTTCAATTACCTAACACAGGGAGCTCACTACCTATTATTGGGCAGCCCTAACTGCAAGGAAGCCCCCTCACCGCATCTGGGAAGGCGAAGAGCGGTCCATTCAGAAGTGTAGACCCAAGGCCCTGCGCCCGCAGAAGCGCTTGCAGCGCCCGCAGCTCCTGGGCCAGCTGCCGACGATTGGGAGTATGGATGTGTGCCCCCAGGCAGCGGAGCAGATGTTCCACATGATTCCTGCTCAGTCGGGAACCCTGAGAGGGAGCAAGGGGTCGGTCCGCGGGTCCCACTCCAGCTAAAGAGATTCTGGGGGTGAGGGAGAGGCCAGCAGCAGTCCTGTCCATTCACCACCACCAGAGGTCGCTGGGGCGGGCCGCCCACCTGTCCCTGCTCCAGGCACAGATTCTCCGCGAGCGTTGGCAGCTCCTGTTCCAGCACCTCCGCCAGCATGGCTCGGCGCTTGCTCTCCTGATGTAGCAGGCTCAGCCCTGAACTCTCTTCCGGGGAAGTAGGCTCCTCGACCCCAGGCTCCCCCGGTACCCTGGGCGCAATGGAGAGCAGCTGATGGAGGGTGGACAACACCATGCAGCCTCCAGGTTTGAATCCTGGCTCTTTCACTTTTATGCCTACCTCTCAGGGACAGATAACAAGAGGAAAAACCCGGAGCTGGGGCAGGAGTAGGGGAATCACAAGTTAGAACATCGGACAGGGCACAGATGGGCACCAGATACCATGCAAGTGGTCAAGGTGTCCAGGCCAAAAGCCCAAGGAGGGCATTTTCTAGAGGGAGTAGAATGACAAACCCAGGTGAAGGAAACCGGAACCCACTCTAGGACGGGGATGGTAGATTCTTACCGGAGCTGGCTGGTGTCCCCATAACTGAGACAGCGTTTTGGGGGGCTGGGTGGGTGCTGAGAGGGTGCCTGAGGCTGCGGGAATGTCTGGGACTGAGTGGTGGGGTCAGCCGAAGGAATGGGACTGGCTGCAGGGGCATCTGAAGGAGGGACAAGCTGTCAACCCTCTCACCTTCACAGCTCCCTCCAGTATGCTGGCTCCCTCAACAACCACAATACCTGAGGGCCGAGGAGCATGATGGGGGGAGGCAGGGCTGCGGCTCCTCTTCCCAGGCTGCAGGAAGGGATCCCCCAGCAGTGCTTGAGCACTGGCTCGGAGATGGGGGTCTGGCTCAAATGTTCTGAGGAGGAAGGCTTGGGCCTCAGCTGACAGAGAACTGGGCATTGGCGGGTGTACCTTGTACATGCCCACCTAGCAGGAGTTAGGGAGAACAAACAAGAGTTAAGATTAAAGGTGTTCACGGACCAGTTCCACCCAAACTCCATGGCCAGGCCCCAAGGGGGGCTCACCTGAAACATGGCAGCCTGTGGGCTCCCTAGCTCATGGAAGGGTGGGCGACCTGTGGCCATCTCAATTACAGTGCAGCCCAATGACCAGATGTCAGCTGCCTTCCCATATCCTCGTGGGCCCTGGTCAATGATTTCTGGGGCCATATACTGCAGGGTTCCTAGGATAGGAGCATGAGCACCAATGCTCATCCAAGCATTATCACAGGGATGGGGAGACTCCAGCACCCTCTGGCCACCTGCACCTAGGCTGAACCTGTCCTCCAAAATAGTTCCCATCACCTACCTCGATCATCAAACATCTATCCTGAGTTCCATCAGCCAATCTGTTACCTACCAAAGCTTCCAGTGATCACACAAGCCTTCATCATCTTGGACTTCATCACCCACAGGAGAGTTCCATCATGCATTCCATCCCCCCTGAACTCTCCCACCTACTCTGACCCCCAACACCCACCTTGGCCTGAATTGATACCGCAGAACTCCATTTTAAGTGGCTAAACTCAATGGAGTCAGTTTTCCAAACTCCAGTTCTAGATTCTATCACTTCACCACTGGCCCAAGGCCTGTCCTAAATTCCATCCTCCATTAGAACTCTAACTCCAAGCCTAAGAGAAACCATGTTCCCTAGAAGACTCCAAGAGTTCTTCTTCATCCCGACTCATCACCCCACACCCTTGTTACCTGTGAAGGTCTCAGTACAGGGTGTGATGCCCGCCAGTCGTTTGGAGGTACCAAAGTCCGAAATTTTGAGCAGACCACTGAAGGTGTTGATGAGCACATTGTCCCCCTGATTGGTATAGACATTGTGCTTAGTGCCTACCTGAACTGGGCCCTGACACAACTGGACCCTCATCCTAGGATCCCCATTTCCTGGAGATCCCAGCCTGGCCTAGGATCTATCAACCTCTTCCCACTGCCCACACCATTTATAGGCCCCCCTGGGAGATATGAACTTCTCTCAGATCAAGAGATCTGAGGCTCTTCTTTCTTTAAGGGACCTCCATAACTAATTCCACCCTTTGCAAATGTTCGAACCACTTTATATCCAAACCTTCAGCCTCTGGGACCATGTTTCCCCAACCCCAATAGAACAAGTGGGCAGCCACAGGGCTGACCTTGATGTCTCGGTGCACAATCCGATTGTCATGTAGATAGCTGAGTCCCTGCAAGATCTGGCGGGTGTAGAAACTGATAGTACTCTCATTGTCCTTCAGGGGTCCCCACACTGACCTCAGCAAGGAGGAGAGGCTGCCTGGGCAAATAAGTGGGTAACAACAATGGTTACCCACCCACATCTCTCTGCTCGAGGCCCAGACTCCATCACCCAACACTACTCCATCAGTGAATTCTTGGCGACACTACCCACACACACTAGGGTTCATTTCCTCCTAGGGTTCTCCACCCCTGCCTTGCTCCATTCCCATAACCCACACTTCAAGTTTCACTTTCATCCCACGCAGGGTAGGTACCTCCAGGCACTTCCTCCATGAAGATTTTGAGGTAGCCGCCCTGGCTGGCTGAACCCAGATAACGCACGATGTTCTTGTGGCGCAGGCGTTTGTGCAGAGCGATTTCTTCATGCAGAGGCTGAGAGAACCTGGGGGAGGTAGAGAAGAGAGGGATGGGATAGATTTGGGCAGAGACGCTCACCCTAGAGTGCATCACCAGATCACGCCCCCAGAACCAGCCCCTCCCACAACCCCCCTCCAACATTCCCCACCCACCTGGCCCTGCCCATAGACGCGCCCCCCAAACTTAGCCCCTCTGGTACCTACTCAGCCCGGCCCCAGGCTGCAGCCCGCCCTTTCAGGGCTCATGGAGCATTCAGCGTGGACCACTAGGTAGGTGTCTGCTCGGCCTGCCCTTGCCATTCCTTAGCTGGTCCCCACCGTCGCACACCAGTACCTGCTGTCTCGCTCCGGGATCTCCTTGATAGCGATGCGTACCCTCGTGTGCCGATCGCGGCCTGCGTACACTACACCGTAAGTGCCTTTGCCCAGCACTAACCGTTCGCCAGTCTCCGTGTATTCATAATCAAACTGCAGAGTGTGGGGTGACCGGGGTTCACTAGGGCCTGCAGCCCTTCGCCCTCCTCAAGTCCCCAGTCCCACGTCCTCACCTCCAGCACCTCCCCTACACCCGCCGCCGCCTCCTCCGCGGGCGCCGCGGAATCTGGATTCGTTGCCAAAGACTGGATCAGGCCGCAGAACCTGAAGACAGGTAGGAATTGTCCCCTCCTCTACCGGGAGCCCCTGGGGGACATCGTCTCTTCCTTTCCCTCACTCCCTCGGGCATTCCGGTACTAGAACATCCCGATCCGACCCGAGAGGTTGAGCGCACCACTGGCAGTGCCCTACGCTGGGGAAGCACAACTGGACGTCCTGAGCCGGAGGAAGAGCACAGAGGAAGCAGCAGCGCTCGTCCCGCTTGGAGGCGCTGAGAAAGGACAGAGAGGCCTGTGAGCGCCCGCTGCCCCGGAACGCCAGAGCCAGCCCGCCGCACCAGCTCCTCACCTGACTCCGCAGATGGAGGCCACTGGGAAGGTCCAGCTAGAGGGGTTGTCCTGCAAGAAAAAAGGGAGCGTAATGGGAGGTGCTGGGTCAGGAGAGGAGAGGAAAAGGGTACATAGCGATTAGAAAAGGAACTCAAACGCGGGTTCACCTGGGTCTCAGGCTCCAGCAGCCTTAGGGTCACTGCCCTGACAGGGTCCATACCCTGAAACTCAAGTCTTGCCGGCAGCAGGACTTTGTTCATCTCCAGGACCAGCACCTGCAGGCAGTGGAATTGAGGAGTCCCATCAGAATGGGTTTGATCCTCTCCCAGTTCCCCCATTCCCAAAGGCCTCACCAAACACTGGTCCCCCTTGGGAAAGGCTGTCGTGAATGGCTGGCAGGACTGTAGCAAGAAGTGGAGCCAGAAGTGTGCTCGACACAGGGGTCCTCCAGAGGGCTCTGGTGTGGGTCTGAAGTGCTGGTAGAGCAGGAAAGTTTCCATCACTGACACCAGGTACCTGCAGGTACAGCCTTGTCCTCAGTTCAGGCCAGCCATCACAGCAGCACCACCAGGAACAGTAAAGTGACTTGAATGTAGCCAGAACATGGACACTAGATGCCAATGCCACTGGCCTGAAAGTGGTTGGGGTCATATTCTGGAACTCAGGCTACAGTGCCAATGGACATGGGTACAGGAGATGACAGCTCAGGAATGTAGAAGGGGTCACCTACCATATGGGGGCATTGAGCTTATACAGCTGCTCTGCAGCCAGCACCACCTGGATGGGGTCATTTGTAAGGATCTGGGCTCCCAGGTAGAAACCTACATCCCAGTAATATTGCATCTTCTCCACACAGCCTTTGCGGGCCAGCAGGCAGCCCAGCTTCATGCCTGGGGGGAAAAAACATAGGCTTCATTAAATGTGGGTGTAGATGTGGGTAAGGCCCAAATATGTGCCACACCATTCACCTGGGCATGTGTGCAGCTAAGAACATAGGTATGGGTAAAATAGTAGGCATGGCAAGATCTCAGGTGGGATTTCAGGTGCAGGTAAGGGGTTGGACATAAGTAAATGTGGAATTCAGTGTGTAAACACAAATATGAACATGGGAACAGTTGTGGGCTCAAGGGACTCAAGGATTCCTGAGGGTCCAAGGCAGGTTTGAGGATGCAGTTATGGGTAATGGTACCAAAAAGGTATTAACTCAACCCTAGCTTCTGCCCTGGACTCTCTCCTGCCCTGTCCTCAGGTCTCTCTGGGCACTGCTGTGTGGATGGTGGACTTCACCTATCAGCTGCAGTTCCTCAGAGTCCTCAAAGTGCTTCCCGGCCGCAATGAGGAGCACAGCAGCATTGATGCCGGAGTGCAAGCTGGGTTCCACATCAAAGGCTTTGCGATACCTGAGGCAGGGTGGGGGGCCACAGGGCTAGTCAGATGCCCACAGCACTGTCCCTCACCCTGCAAGCTCAGTTCTCTGTCCACTCTCTTGTACCCCTTACCAGTGATAGGCCTGCTCCCGGTACCCAGCATCCTGGAAGCCAGAGCTGAAGAACATGTCCTTGTAGACACGGCCACACATGCAGTACAGATCGGGTGCCACAGAGCCCTCACACTGAACCAGTGGCAGCAGCACATTCAGAGCTTTCTCCCTGTCCCCAGGCCTGTTCCTCCTAAGGGTGGGGAAAGATGGTCTGAGATCCTGTCTGATGACCCTGATGCACTCTGTCCAGGGATCCTAAATCCTAACAGCAGGGACCCTTTCAGGAGCCTGACAACCAAGACCACCAAATGGCACTGACCCTGGTCAGCACTGACCTCTCAAGTAGTAGTGACCCGGGTGGAAGTGATTCCTAGGTATAATGGCTCTAAGGAGCAGTGACCTTGGATAGCTGTAACCAGGTTGCAGTAACTAGAACAACAAGGACCTCTTGGCTGGTCAGCAAATTCCCTGAAGACCAGTGTCCCAGCCAGCAACGATCTTTACAAGCAGAGATCCAGGCCACAGAAACCGTCATGTGGCTCTGACCCAAGCCCTGATCCACCACTCACCGGTTGAGGGCAAATGTGTAGTGGAAGCAGACATTGTGTTGCTCAGCCACATCGCAGGTGGGCAAGGCCTGTAGGGTCTCCACCAGCTCGATGATGGCTGAGTAGTCCTGTGTAAGAGAACAGTAAGCACCAGCATGAGGAGCCTCCAGCCCTTGAGGAAAACTCTGAGCAAGGATCCTGTCCCACTGCTGACATCCCACTCCGACCCTCTGAAAACACTGCCCTCAAGCCCAGCAGGTATGCAGATTGGACCTCAAGTGGAAAGTCCACTGTGTGCTCCATGCTTTGTGTCCCCAAACTTAACAACTGCCCTGAGAGTCAGTGATATCATTTCACAAACAAGAAAACTGAGGCTCAGAGAGGTTAGAGAGTTTGCTTAAAGCCACCAGTGAACAAGAAGCACAGACAGGAACTAAACTTGGGTTTGTCTGACAACAAATGCCCCTCAGCTGACTGACTGCCCCTCAGAACATCTCACACCTGCACATCACGGTAGGAAAGCAGCAGGTTCATGATGATGTCAGGGCTCAGCAACTCCACACTGTCCAGTCTCCGCTGCAGACGAGCCAGCTCTTGCCGCAGCTGCTGCCCACTGAACCTCTCCCGAGCCTGCCGGATATTCTGCCGAATGGTCTCCCGGAAATAGCCACTGATGTCCAGGCCAGGGGAGGGAGGGAGAAAGAATAGTGGGCCTGTCCCTCAGCCACAGCCCATTGTACCCTCACCAGCCGCTTCCTGGTGTACCCTCTGAGAAGGCCCCATTACCAGGAGTCTGTAGGAGTGGCCTCCAGCAGGCGAGCAAGCCGGCATACCAGGGGAGTGAGCAGGGCCTCGGTGCCCACCCCAACCTGAACCAACCCATCAGCCAGGCCCCTCAGAAGGCCCACATCACCACATAGCACCCGACCAGTGGCTGTCACCACGTAGGGGATCAGTGTGTAGCTACCAGCACAATCCTGGTGGGAAGGAGACAGAAATCAGTGGAGGTCAGAGGTCAGCACAGTGTTATAGAGAGAGACAGGAAGGGGTCAGAGGTCAGTACCAGTGAGGAACGGAATAACAGGAAAGGGGCACACTTCATGAAAGGAGGCCATAGGGAACACAGGGTCACATGGATGTCAAGGGACTTTAGGGAGGTCAGAGGTAACTGGAAGGCCAGGAAGACCAGTGGGGGTCAGAGGTCAAAGGGTACATCAGAATGAAGAATGATTCTTCTCACCGAATTCTTCTGGAAAACATCCTCCTGCAGGAGGCAGACAAATATTAGTATTCTAGGAAGGCCTCACCCCAACCCTGCACCTGCCCCACCAGCCACGGGCCACCTACTCTGAGGGCCTGCAGGTCAGGGAGCTCGGCCTGGGAGCAGAGGAGCACGTTGTTGGTCATGCTGAAGCTCTCACGCACACCAAGGTGGTAGAATAGGGAGGGCTGTGCCAGGGAGTTGCTCACCTCCAGGACCACCACGTCTGTGGGCACAGAGGTGCAGGCTCTAAGTCTTGAAGCCCAGCTTGGTGGGGAAGTAGCCTGGGATGCACTGCAGCTGGGCTTGCCTTGCTGAGGGACCCCAGTCAGGTCCAGTTCTGCTCTGGGCCTGTTTCTCCCTTTTATGGCCTCCCTACTGCATACACAGTACTGATACCTGTGGTGCTTCTGAGGGCTCACTAGGTACGACACTCACCCCACACTGCTCAGAGCCTGCAATCACTGCCCAGAGAAGGGGGCCAGGCTGTGCTCCACCTCAGAGCCTGTTCCAGGCTGTGTGGGAAGCAGGAGCTGTACACAGAAGTCCCATCCCTGATCCTCAACCTAGCCTCTTGAAAGCAGTCTGCACCATTGGCCTAAGTAGACAAAGCTGTGCCTGTATGTGTATATGTGTAGCTTACTGTGTCTTTGAATGACAAGTTTGTAGGGGCCCTTCTGAGTCAACATGGATGCGATTTGTGAGTCTATCCATGACTGTGTGTTTGTGTCTTCAAGGTCAGGTCAGTATTTGTTTTTAGGCTGTAATTTCTCTTAATCTTTTTAGTTATTTGGGCTGCAATTTCATGGACGTCCAGGAAGCACGGTTCCCGGACTCTTGGATGAACAAATAAGGATAGGAGACCCGGCATCCGGGTAGGCGGTAGAATTGCAGCCTCTGGCGCCGCCCCAGACTGTCCCTGTCCCTCCCACTCTCTCTTCGTTGTGTTGTCTTGAAACTAAGACCCCTCGCCCAGAATCCAATCCTGATGGGTCCCTTCGCTTTCCTTTTCTCCTCTTTACCCCGATCCTTGGAAGTAGTATTGCTACGACCTCTAAATTCCGGCCCCGCACGAGGAGCCCTAGTCCAAGCTCCCCTCCCAGGATTCGCCCTCGAGAGCTTGGCACTTAGACCTCCCGAAGCGAGTCTCCAGCCGCCCACGCGCCGCAGAACCGCCGCCGAGCCCCAGCCACGCCCCAGCCTCTCAGCCCCGCCCTAGCCCCGCCCCGCTCGCTAGGCCCGGCGCCTACTAAAGGGTTCTTAAGCGCCAACCCCAACCCTGGAACAAGGGCTGGATCCCTAAATCCAATTTAGGGTCTCCAGAGGCCCTAAATTCCACAACTTCCATAGCACCGCCTCAAATCCTTTAGGTTTAGTTCACCTTATGTCCCTAGACCCCGCCCCCAACTCGGCCCCGCCCTGGACTCGCCGGCTCCGCCCCTTTCCCCGCCCAACATCCTAAGCCTCGCTCGCGTCGCGCTCACCCGCGTTGTAGAAGGAGTCCATCGCGGCCGTGTCTCCCAGGGCCAAGGTCTCAAAGGGCAGGCTGCGCAGCTGTGGCGGTGGCCGTGGCCCTGGGAGCTGCGCGCAAGCCTCGCGCAGGCAACGGAGAGGCAGCGGCTCCGCCTGGGTTCCCGCCCCAAGCTCCACCCCGGGCCGCGGCTCCCGGGTCAGCACGTAGACCACGCTGAGAGGCCGGCTCCGAGCGCAGCTCCGGCCTGGTGGGGTAGCTAGCGGCCGGCTCCGGCTCAGCGCTTCGGCCAGCGGGTCCTGCCAGCAACTGCCCGCTCGCTCCAAGGTCCCGGACCCGGTGCACTGCCCCGCCATGCGAGGGCGCTCAGGCGCGGCGTGCCGGGTCCTGGGAAACTGGGGCAGGACACGAGGCTGGGGCGGTGGATCCAGGGATCTCGGGATTGGGAATCCAGTCGAGATCCGAGAATCTCCTACGGGATCTGGAGATCAGTCGGACGTCCTGTTCCGGAAATCTGGAGTCCAGGGAGAAATCTGAGCTCAGACTTGCAAGGTCCTGAGGATCTGAAATCCGGGATTGAGTTCCGAGAATCTGGGGTACTCCGTGATCCGCAGCTCAGAGTTGCAGGGGGAACCCGGGAATCAGGCCGGCAGTGTTTGTCACCCAGACCTCTCAGGGGACCGCCGTCCGTCACTTTGTCCTGCCCTCACATGTAGGCTGGGCCCAGCCCTTTCCCTACCAGGAAAGCTCCACCCTTGGCCCTGGGGCAGCACCGCTCCCCAGCGGCTGGGGACGCGGCCTCTCCCTTCCCTTCTCTCCCGCCAGAACCTCTGATACTGGCCTCTTCCGGAACAGCTTGAGTCCTAGTGCCCGCCAACCTCTATGGACTGCTCACTGCAGGCACTCATGTGTGCCCAGGCCCAGGCTAGAGAACAAGCAAGATTTGCAGGCCCTGCTGTACAGATGTCTGTTGAATTAGTGGTTCTCAAGTCATGGGGGTATGCAAAACACGATGAATAGTGGGTGTCCAGAATCCAGCCCTGGAATGGGGCTTGATGTCTGAGCTCTTGTCTGAGTGCTACTTTTCCCAGGACTTCATCAGCTATGGAGGCCTATTGATCTTTGACTTCTATCCAGAAGATGACAGTGAGGCCTGAGAAGCACCTTCTACTCTAAACATTTCTCTACTCATCCTTTGAAGAGAACCCTAGAAACCTCAGCCCTTTTTCTACCAGTGTCCCACCCTCACGTCCCTAAGAATCTCTAATGTGAATTAGTGACTGAGACAACAAGCTGTGTAACCTCAGTGAACCTTGAAATCAGCAACTGAGGACTTGGAGGGGTTAAATAACTTGTGTAAGATCAGTCGGCTATATAACAGAACAGGGTGCAAACCTAGGACTGACTGTCCAACTCTTAACTATTTGCTTCTGCCACTACTTGAAATGCTGTGGCATTGGGCGAATATACTGCTCAAAAAATGCTAGCTCAGTGGCTACTGTTTCATTGGGCTGTTTCATCATGGGAAGAAAAAAAATGTACCACCTTCTTGGATTCAAAGGAGCTCTCAATGGGTTAGGCAAGGAGCAGCAGAGGGCGAGGACTTGACCCATTACAGACTGGGGTGGGAAACACAATTTACAAGGGACAAGCATGAGCAACAGAGAGGGTGAGAAAGCTATGCAGTTTCTACCACAAAACCATCATTTGCAGGCCCAGAGAGCCCAGACTTGTTCAGTGGCTTCTTGAATCTCTTCCAATCCCTCTACTAGATGCCCCGCTGTTCTTGTTTTGCACACCTCCAGAGAAACCTCTTTACCTTGGGAGTTTCCCTTCCATCTTCCTGATAGGAAGGAAATCCATCATGGAGCTGAGACTTATGTTCCTGCTCTGCCCTCTTTACCCAGTAACTGAAAGAATCCTGAAAGCCTGAAAAGGGTTAAAATGATTTATTTTTAAATGTGAACAGGGAAACAGAGGCGGTTGTAGTGGGGAGGTGGTTGAGGGTCCGGAAGCTGTTCAGGAGAGATAAGGGCACTGCAGGGCACCCTAGTGGAGCAACATTGGAACCCTGTGGTAGGGGTGACCCACAACTCAGAGGCCCAATTGATGCCATGCTTGTGGGCAGTGGCCTCAGACACTGCATAGTGACTGTTGAGATTGGATTGATAACAGGATTCATACCACCAGGCACCAGGGACAACCTCTGAGCAGCTGTTCCCATTTGAGTCATGGTGGGTGTCAGGTGGTAAAAGGCTTCCAACTGTGGAAGCTCAAGGAGTCCCTTCCTGCAGTCCCTTCCTGGAGGGCACCGTAGGGATCCACCCCATGCCTGGCACCCTTAGGGATATTATCCTGAGAAAGTCTCAAGCAACTGCAAGGTGGATGTTACCAACCCCATAAGACATTAGCGGAATAAGGGGCCAGGTGTTTGCCACTGTCACTCAGCTAGTCACAACGGCAGTGGGACTTGCATTTATGATTGATTCCAGAGTCACCAACTCTTCCCCCTGCCTTGTCCTCTCCAGAATCCCTAGTTTCCCTCCATCCTTTGTCTCCTTTCACTCCCATTTACAGCCCAAGCATCTATACCAAGGAGAGCTGCGAGGAACTTCGTGTGCCTGGGTAAGAAAGGGGGCTCCCCTGAGGCACCTCCCCATCACCACTTCCCCCTTTCAGATCTCTCCCCAACAGTCTGTTTCTCTGACAGAGAACTGCCCTAGTTCCTTTCCCAAAGCAGAGCATGTTAACACTCCAGGAGCCTCAGATGGTGCCCACAGCCCCACCCTGCCTCCTGGCCCATTCCCAGCCACCACCCCACCCACCCTCACCCCACCCCTGTTCTGGAGATTGAACTCAGGGCCTTGTACATGCTAGGCAAGGGCTCTGCCTAGAGCTATGGCCCCAGCTCCTCCCCACCCATTTTATAGGAAGCCGAGGCTCTGACACAGAAGGGACTTGCTCAAGATCACAGAGTAAGTGGTGAATTTGAAATCGCCCTCAGGTCTATTTGCCTCCAGAGCCCTAATTCTTTCTTTCCGGTACCACCCTGTCTCAGGGTTGTCTTTTCTTGGATAAAAAAACTGAGATCCACAGAGGGGGGGAAATTGCTCTAGAGACCTAGGCAATGCTCTGAAAGAAACCAGCCCCCTGCCTCTCCTTCTTCAGGGCCCCACCTTAGACTCACTCACCTGCAATGCCTCTGAGAACTTGCTCAGTGCCTGCTGGGAGTAGTCTGCCTCCCCCATAAGACAGAAAGTCACAGTGGGGAGATGGAGCCATTAAAGCCTTCCAGCTCTACCCAGGTGCCTGGGAGAAAGGGGGAAGCTGGAATGAAGGAAGCTCAGATTCTCAGGTGTGGACTTGGGAGGGATGGAAGACCGTACCCTTAGAGCCCTTTGACCTTGCTGGGAACTCCCCCTGAAGGGTGAGCTGGTGTAAGTTCTCATTCCCCAGCCAGAACTCAGACTCCTAGCTCCCAAAACCTGCTTTGTAGGATGACCACAAATGAAATAAATCCACAGAACCATCCTGTCACCTTGGAAACACCTGCGGAGGCAGAGAAGACTAGCATACCAGGTACTACTCCTGCCTGGGCAAGGGGTGCTGGGGAACAAGGGTACATGTCTGCTGAGGTTGGGTGAATAGGAGAGGTGAGCTGATGTTTCTCTTCTCTTTGGATTGGGGCCTAGTGGATAAAAAATTTCTTCAAGGAAGCTTTTCTTGTAAATACATTGATAAACTTGATTTCCTTATTAACTTTTTCTTTTCTTTTTTTTTTTTAGTACTGGGGATTGAACCCAGAGGTGCTTAGCAACTGAGCCACATTCCCAGCTCTTTTTTAAAATATATTTTATTAGAGACAAGGTCTTGCTGAGTTGCTTAAGGCCTTGCTAAATTGCTGAGGCTGGCTTTGAACTTTCGATCCTCTTGCCTTAGCCTCCTGAGCCGCTGAGATTACAGGTGTGCCCACCATGCCAGTCTTCCTTATTAACTTTTACTGACACTCAAATGCATACCAAAACCTTGCATTCCTAGGGGAGACTGAAATGATAGAAACACTGTCCCTTCCCTCAGGAGACCCTTAGTCTATTAGGAGTCAGACTCACGATAATGTGCTTTCATTGACTATGATAAAAACCAAGATATTTAAAGCAGAGATATTGACCCCAGTCCAAACTGGACTTCTGGCCTTACCCTAATATCCACCCCTCCAATCTTCCTCCTCCAGGTCAAGAACTCCTTCGCCCTGGGAGTTTCCCTCCTAAATATTTTGTCATTGTTGTTACAGCAGTGGGGTTGAACCCAGGGATGCTAGTGCTTTACCACAGGGCTATATCCCAAGCACTTTTTTTTTTTGGTACCAGGGATAGAACTCAGAAGCACTTAACCATTGAGCCACATCCCCTGCACCCTTGCATTTTTTTTTAAGAGAGAGAGAATTTTTAATATTTATTTTTAGTTTTCGGCGGACACAACATCTTTTTTTTGTATGTGGTGCTGAGGATCCAACCCAGGCCGCACGCATGCCAGGCGAGCGTGCTACCGCTTGAGCCACATCCCCAGCCCATCCCCTGCTTTTTTAAAACATATTTTAGTTGTAGATGGACACAATACCTTTATTATTGTTTGTTTGTTTATTTATTTATTTTTAAATATTTTGTTTTTTTAGTTGTAGTTGGACACAAAACCTTTATTTTATTTTATTATGCTGAGGATCGAACCCAGCGCCCCGCACATGCTAGGCCAGCGCTCTACTGCTGAGCCACAACCCCAGCCTCTTGTTTATTTATTTTTATGTGATTCTGAGAATTGAACCCAGTGCCTCACACATGCTAGGCGAGCGCTCTACCACTGAGCCACAACCCCAGCGCATCCCCCCACTAGTCCCATTTTATATTTTATTTAGACACAGGTTCTCACCGAGTTGCTTAAGGCCTTGTTAAGTTGCTGAAGCTGACTTTGAACTCAAGATCTTCCTGTCTCAGCCTCCCAAGCTTCTGGAATTACAGGCATGCACAATCCAGCCCAGATGAAGCACTTTTAAAAATTACTATTATTTTTTATTTTGAGACAGTGTCTCACTAAGTTGTCCAGGCTGGCCTTGAGCAATCCTCCTGCCTCAGCCACCCGAGTAACTGGGATTATAGGTGTGCACCACTACACCTGACTCCTTCTCCACCTTGTTCCCTACTTCAACTCATCTTCCACGATGTAGCCCAAGACTTCTCTTTTTTTTTTTTCTTTTTCTTTTTTTATGGCAATGGGTATTGAACCCAGCAGCGCTTAACCACAGAGCCATATCCCCAGCCCTTTCTATTTTTTATTTTGAGACAGGGTCTCGCTAAGAGCCTCACAAACATGAGGAAGCTGGCTTGAACTTGCAATCCTTCTGCCTTAGTCTCCCGAGTTGCTGGGATTACAGGTGTGTGCCACCATACCTAGCCAAGTCATCTTTCTAAAATACAAGTCTGACCTCGTTCTTTGGCTTAAATCTCTTCCAGGGCTCCCCATTTCCCCCCACAACTCTTCAGTCAATAATTTAATGCCTTCCCAGAGCTGGCCTTTGCAGAGGTCCTCCGTGCATGTCTGGTCACACCAAAAGACCATAGCTGACCACCCACATCTACTCTTAGCTCCCTCCCTTGGTGCCCCTAAACCCTCTGGTACGCTCCTGCTTTCATAAATTTATCTTTACCTCTACCTGGAAAGCCCTTCTGCATCTTATCTGTCTAGAAAACTTCCACACAGCCTTCAAGGTCCTTTCAAATGTCACCTCCTCTATGAAGCCCTCTCAGACTTCTTCAGGCACTGTGGGGAGCTCAACCACCACCTGTCTGTGACTTCCTCTAAGGGTATCTTGCTCCAATGGGCTTTGGCTCCCCCTAGGGGTCATGGGGGAGAAGTGCTCATTGGATCGGGTCTTCCAGCCCCTTTTCTCATTCACCAATCAGCCACCCCCAGCAGTGTTGTGTCACAAAAGGCTGGATGGACCCTGCCCTTCCTGCCCTCCCTGCCCTCTGTAGGCACAGATGGTACCAGCCACTCAAGGTGGTGCCCTGGCTCATCAGCTCTTGGTGGATACTGGGATCTGAGAAAGGAGAGATGGAGTGTGGGGGTGGGCAGGTTATTCCCCAAACTCCTCCAGTTCCACCCAGTCACTGGAACAAATGGGAACTTCAGAAGCCCTCTTGCTCCTTTGGGCCTCTGAAGGGACTATAAGGAGGACTAAGGAGGGCTTGGCCACACCTGGGGCCCACCAACACCCACACTGCCTGATTCCAAGTTCTCAGCTCCCACCAAGGCAGCCCCACCCTCCTGGCACCAGAACAGTTTCACTGGATCTCCTGCCCCAGAGAGGGACCGTGTGTTGGCTCTGAGGTCTGAGCACCCTGAGGGAGTGGCCATAACCACTAATGGGGAGAGCCCAGGTCCTTCTCCTAATTCTCCCCACCCTCCCAGCCTCCCATTCCCATGGGCGGGCAGTCATAACTGATTGCTGCAGAGGCAACAGAAACATCCACCCTTGAGTGTGGGGATAGAGCAAAGGAAACGGGGAGGCCCTGACCCCACATACTCACAGGTTCACCCTTGGGGTCCATCTTGCTGAGGTCCAGGCTGCCCTGAAATCCCAGAGGCAGAGATACCCTGAGTCCTGTTCATGCCCCCAAAGAAACAAGATTTGGAGCTAGAAGTTCCAATCCCCTTTTCACCTTTTACTGGCTCTGTGATGGGAGACTTAACAGCTTACCCTGTCTTGAGTCTCACTTTCCTCCTTAGTAAATTGAGGACCATACCACCTACCTGGCAGATCTTAGGATGCTGCGTACCTACCCATCAAGTGCCTGGGACAGAAAGGGTTCCTGTCCCTTTGTTATGGCTCCTCAGCACAAACTGCAACTGCTACATCCTCACACCTGTACCCTGGCTGCCAGGTTAACCAAAGGGCCCTGCCAGCTCCCCAACACATCTCACCTTGGGGACCTGGAGCTCCTTTCTCCCCAGTACTTCCTGGGGTTCCAGGACAAAAACTTTGCTGGCTTTCAGTTCCCTGGGTTCTTCAGGGAGACACAGGGTCCGTGGGCACAGTTTGGACATGTTTCTCCCAGATCTCTCTGCAGTTCTTTTTCCACCTCCCAGATTCTAGCTGTCAGGGCACTTGCTTCTTTAGCGGGTAAGGTTTTGCACTATTTCTATCTTATTTGCATAAATTAGTATGCAGAGCCCCAATGGTCAAACTCTAACCTCTCTCTTTGGGGAAGGCAGGAAATAAGAGGAGGGTTGATGGAGAAAGCACACTAAAACCCTACCTGGGAAGCTGGGGTGGTTATGGGTACTCAGGCAGGACCCTAAATAGGAGGAGAATAAGGAAAGAGAGGTCCACTGTAGGCCCATCTTGCTGAGGCCACCAGAGAAAGAATGTCAGCTTATAAGAAACCAGACTGGTGGGAAGGTATAAAGTAAGACTTCCTCCCATTGTCCCCCAGGGACACCCCACACAGGCTGATGCTACCAGAGGGCATTTCCTTTCCCAGCCCTAGAGAGAATGGGCATCGTCCTTGTTTTGTCCAGCCAGAATGGGGTCCAACTTCTGATCCTGACTTCCAGGGCTCCCCAGTCATCTCTCCAGATCTCTATATTCATATGAATTTTCTCAGCTTTAAACTTTAGTTCACAGGTATGGTAGCACATGCCTGTTATCCCAGTGGCTCAGGAGGCTGAGGCAGGAGGATTTCAAGCTCAAAGCCAGCCTCAGGAACTTAGCAAGGCCTTAAGCAACTCAGTGAGATCCTGACTCTAAATAAAATACAAAAAGGGCTGAGGTGTTGCTCAGTGGTTAAGCACCCCTGGGTTAAATCCTGTGTACCAAAAAATAGAAACAATAATAAATAAATAATAAAATGAAATAAACCTCAGCTCATTCTGTGCCTTCCATCTGGAATGCTCCTTCTTCATCTTCACCTGTGAAGCTCCACCTGTCTGTGAAAGTCCAGCTCTAAGGCCATCTCCACTTTCCTGGTCCTTTCTGATCCTTGTTAACACTATTAATAGAGACCACTGCTACCATCTATTGGGTACACTGAGTATGGTTTACACTGAGTATGGTTTGTACATCTCTTCCAATCCTCATGTTGGAAGGCCTCAGTCCTTATTATTGGCCCTGGGTAATAAACCTGGTACAAAACAAATACTCAATAAACATTGGTAAAATAGCTAGGGGTGTGGCTTGGTGGCAGAACATGTCCTCAGCATGCTTAAAGCCCTGGGTTCAACCCCAGCATGTATATATGTATTTATATATGTACATATTCATAATATTCATATGAATGAATAAAGGAGGAGGAAAACTGAGGCCCAGAGATGGAATATGACTTTTGTTTTCCCTGGCACTTATATGCCTAAAGCCACAGAGCTTTCTCCCAATACTCGCCACCAGAGAGGAGCAACCTTAGGAAAGTGACTGTAGCTTGAGTCCCTGGGCCTAGAAAACAACTGTCAACATAGGCCAATTGAGTGCAGCCTGTGCAGGGGCCTAGAAGTGGCAGCCATGCTTTATCTGTGAGAGGTGAGGCCTGAGCTGGACGAGTACTTCAGGTGGCAGGGGAGCAAAGAGAAGGCATGGTCACTCATTCATGCAGTAAACCTTTTCTGAGGGCTGGCCCTGTGCCAGGCCTAATTCTGGGGGCAGGTGGGGTCTGAGGTATAAGGAGGTATGAGGTGAAATGGAGGCCAAGTTTGCCTAACAGGATGGAAGCATGAGAGGGAGGCCAGAGACTGCAACTCCAGTCTAGGAGTCTGCCCTCCCCAAACCCTCCTTCAGATGTGTCGAGGTCTGCAGACGAGCCTATTCAGCATGGCTGTCCGTGAGTTCACCTGAGGGCTGGAGGTGTAGCTCAGTAGGCAGAACACTTGTCTATGATGCTTGAGACTCTGGGTTGGATGAAACACCAAAAAACCAAAACCAACATGGAAATGACCCAGCCAGCACTGATAGGATCCAGGCAAATAAATTTTGATCATTTGAGGGCTGGGGTTGTAGCTCAGTGGCAGACCACTTGCCTAACACCTGTAAGGCCCTGGGTTCAATCCTTAGCACTATAGAAAAAGAAGCAAATAAGGGCTGGAATTGTGGCTCAGTGATAGAGTGCTCGCCTAGCATGCACGAGGCACTGGATTCCATCCTTAGCACCACATAAATGTAAATTAAGGATATTGTGTCCACCTAAAACTAAAAAATAAATATTTAAACAAATAAAATAAAGACTGATCATCTACAACTACAAAATTTTTTTAAAATATGACCATTTGGACAAGTCATAGGGTGAATCTAATGTCAAGGGAAAGTCACAGAACAGCATGTGCAGCACGATCACACTGTGTTGTAAAAATGCTAAACGTGTATATACATAATGAATTCACAGAGAAAGGTCTGGAACAACTGTTAACCATAGGCATTTCTGGGGAAGGAGGGAGAGAGAGGAGTGATTCTCACTCTTTAAACTTCTATATAGTCCTTTTTTCCCTTCATAGGCATTTAGTGTTCTTGAAAGAAAAACATTGGATAAAGGAGGGCAAGGCAAAGAAATAGTCCTGTGGGGAGAAGCCAGGTGGTCCCAACAGGAAGAACTGCATGTGCAAAGGCTTGGAGAAAAGAGGAAGCAAGGCAGGCTGGGAACAGAAGTAGATCCACATAGTTGGAGGAGGACCAAAGGCAGGGCAGGTGTCTGCAAGGATGGGGGCTTTGACGGAAGTGAAGGTGGGAGGGAGAAGCCTCAGGAGGTGGTGCCATGTGTGGGCAGGTGAGGCCATGGGTGCCATGTGTGGGCAGGTGAGGCCAAAGAGCAGCTAAACTATTTATGGAACTGGGGGTCCTTTCAACCATTCAGCTGCAGCCAGAGATCCCTGGGGAGATCAAGATGGAGGGAGGGTAAGCCCACAGGCTGTGCAGCTTAAGAGGGTCATGTGCTCTGGAGTGAAGCAAACTGAATAGATGCACCTGCCCTGAGCCTTCTCCACATCCCACTGAGATGGAGACAGTTACTTGCACTTCACAGATGAGGAAACTGAGGCCCAGAGCTATGAAATGCTTGAGTTCAGCTCTCAATCCTTATTCTTCCTTTCAACTTTCTTTGGCATTGTGCATGTGAAGAAGTGAGACCCTGCTGCAAGCCTGGTTCCCATTGAGCACCCAAGACCTGGGGGGCTATGAGTCAGAGAAGACTTCTGTGCCCAAGGATGCAGGCAGGGCTTTCCAAGGAAGCCTGGATGAGGAAGGCCACAAATGGCCACCTGAGAGTCCTGGGGGCTCTCCTCCTTGGCCCTGGGGCACAGACATAAGTTTAGGGGACAGAGACTGAAGACACCTTCAGAAGGGAATCCTGCTCACTCTGAAGTCAGAAGAGCCTGGATTCCAACCCCAGCTCTGCCATAATCTGAGCAAACATTTACCTTTCTGAGTCTCCATACCCTTGCTGGAGAGGGGTAGGGGTAGGGGGTCAAAAGGTATAAGAGACAAAAATATCTTAAAGAAAACAGTCCTAGTCCTAGGCAGAATTCCTGTGAAGGAGAGGATGACGGCCATATCCTTCCCCATCCACACAACCCCGGACACAGGACAGGAAGCACGGCACCGGAAACAGTTCGTTTATTTGGGGGGAGAGCCCAGGCTAAGTTGGTAGGAAGAGGCGGCACAGACCCTGGTACCAGGCTGAGGGACCCAGCAGGGTCCACAGATGAGACACGAGGTGGTTGAGGGATGTTCTCAGCTGTAGGTGGCAGGCCCGGGACAGGAGGGGAGGTCAGGGATTGGGTGCTGAGCCTGCTCAGTGTCCACAGGGGCCAGAAACAGATGGCCAAAGATTTTCCCACCCCCAGTGCCCACAGAGTGGCCAAGAGGGCAGCCTCTGAGTCCTCCTTCCCCTCAGTGTGAAGACCAGGCCCAAGGGGGTCAGATTCTGAGGAGGCCACACAGAGAGACACTTAGGGGAGGTGACCCTACCTCAGTTGGGCAAAGACTCTCACCCCCCAGAGAGCAGGTGAAGCTGGAAGAGCAAACACTTTAACGCAGGCTGCAGCGACCCACCCCACAGCACACGGCACACGGAGCCACGCACGGCTCCCTTCTCAGAGGACACCACACTTTCACACAGTCTGGCTCCTGCCCACGGCCCCAGACTGGCTGAAGACTTGCCTGAGCCATCACCTACTGGTTCTCCTCCCTGCTGGCAGCATGTGGGGACAAAGACACAGTGGGGCTCAGCTGAACTGCCAAGCTTGGGGCCCAGGCTGAATCCTGGTCCCAGCTAACATTTAGCAGGGAGCCCCTATTGGAGGAGAGAAGGGGGGTGTCTCACATAGGGGACATGGGGAAGGAGTCATTATCTTTTGGGTTACCCCGTGGAGAAGACAATTCCCTGGGCAGGGAGGAGTAAGGGAAGTGCGCTGGGACTCCCCTGCTGCCAGGTACTCACAGTGTCTGGTAAGTGCTATCCTTGGCCTTGAGGAAGCGCAACACGAAGAAGGCCACGGCCTGCAAGCTCAGCACCAGCACAACACCCCCGATGAAGCTGGCACCATCAAAGCCAGAGCTGTGGGCTTCAGGGATCACAGGGCTCCCTGTGGAGTGAGACAGGGTGGAGGTCATAGCTGGCCACCATGGACCCAGGATCCCTTCTCCACCTCACAACTGGCCCAGGACACCTCAGGGCCTCAGGCCTCACTATGGAGCCTGGAACACAGGCACAGAAGTCTAGCTCAGAACCTATGGGCAGAGGGGAAGTACCTGGTATAAGGGACAGTGCTTGTTAGGACTTGGCCCTATTCCTAAGTTGCTCTGTGGCTTTCTGCCATGCACACCCTCTCTGGGCCTACTAATCCCATAGACCCACTAGGTGAGAGAGGGTGCTTAGGGCTTAGATCCCAGATGCAGATGGTCCCTTTTCAGGACCACTAAGCCTCGTCCCTTTTCAGGACCACTAAGCCTCGAGCCCCTATTCAGAGAAGAAGGAGCAGGAGAAGTAGAGGTCTAGACCAACACCCTACTAGAAGATGGGTCCCTTTCTCTTCTCCTCAGATAGTAGAGCCTCAGGGCCACAGTTTCCAGGCTAGATCTGGGTGACTACCAGCTGTGCCACAAGGGATTCCATTTCAGGCCCTGGGCCAGGTGCCCAGGACAGGGTAGGGCCAGGTAGGGCAGTGTAGGGCAGGGCTGGTGAGCAAAACATACCAGGACAATGAACAGGGGCTCAGCTGGGAGCAGGGTCCACTTCCCAGAGGGTGTGTGTGGTATAAGGGGGTCCAAGAATACCAAGGGCAAAAGATGGTCCCAGCCGAAGCTCAGGGATCCCTAGAGAAGGATGCCAAGGGAAGAAGAGCAAAAAGGGAAGAGACGAGCCACACACAGTAGATCTGGGGCTTCAGTTGAGGGAACTGAGCCATCAATAATTCAGCCTCTGAGATCAGTTTCCGGCTTTAATTAACCAAGAGCCTCTTCAGCCATCCTGGCCAAGTCTGGTGACCTCCAGTCTCTGAGGGGCAGTGGAAGTCAAGGGGTGGCCTCTGCTCTTTCAGAAATCTGCTCTGGGACCCTCTGGTCCGGCAGGTTGCAGTAGGTGGTCACTTATTAGTGACTGAAGCCACATACTCTTATTAGTATCTGGAGCCACATACTCTCAGGTCCAAGGGTTAGGAACGGATAGGAGCTGCCTTTTCTTTTTTAGTTGTAGATGAACATAATACCTATAACTTATTTATTTTTTTATGTGGTGCTGAGAATCAAACCCAGTGCCTCACGTGTGCTAGGCAAGTGCTCCACTGAGCCACAACCCCAGCCTCGAGAGCCGCCATTTCTTGATCACCTTCAGTGCGTCAGACACTGAAGTGGGCCCTATCTATGCAGACCCATTAAATCCTAACAGCAGCTTTGTGAGGTAGGTCTTACCCAACCCATTTTACAGATGTGGAAACTATAGATGGAGGGAAAACTGAGAGAAGGATACTACAGAGCATGTCAGCACCTGAGCCCAGCTGTCTTTCTATGCACCTCTGGTCCTCCCACTACCCCATCCCACAGGGAATACTTGCCTGTTGTGATTGTCTTCGGTTCATAGGTGGGATGGTGGTGGGCAGCTGAGGAGACAGGAAATCCATAATAAAACCACCTTCCTGTCCCCTGGCTCCCATCGAGACCCCAGTCGCTGCCAGCTGCTGGACTCCAACTCAGACTAGGCCCTTCTCCCAGGTCCAGACACCCAGTGTTCTATAAAGGCTTCGTCGCACAGTTCCCTCCACCAGATGTGCCACCTCTGCAGTTCTACCTACCAAGCTCAACTCTGATCCCACTTCCTCCAGGAAGCCTCCCACCATTCCCTTCTGAATTTCCAAAACCATGGTGTCTTATATTACAGGAAGACCTAATGCCCCCATCCCCGCGCACATCTGGACCAATTTACAGTGATAAAACAGGTCATAGAGGGGAAGAGACCTCTGAGAGCTAAAGACAGAATTGAAACTGGACCCAGGTGTTTGTGGGCATAGTTCACTCCCTGAGAGGCTGGGTTCTCCTGGGAGCAGGTTCTGGATGGGGAGACCAGCCCCCTCCCTCCAACTTTGCTAGACCAGTGGGAACTCCTTTACCTGGACAGGACTCTGAGCTGTTGTAGACAGAGCAACCCTCCTTGACCACCTCAGCTTGGGCCACACAGTGTCCTTATAGGAGAAGGTGCAGGGAAGAGGTTTGAGGAGAGTGTCCAAAGCTTTGGGCTTCAGAGCTGGGGCCAATGAGCTTGGAAAGGGCCCAACTCCATACCTGGTTCCTGTAGTCGACATTGCTGCCACACGCAGCCTGAGAAATTGTGTGCTCTGTCCCCCTCCACACAACGCTCACAGAGCTCCAGTTGTTTGCAGCCCCCTTGGACAGCAGGCCAGGTATTCAGGCGGATCAAGGCTCCCCGCCCAAAGCCTTGAGCTCCTTTACCTGGGAATGGGATGGGAGTGGGAAGGGAGCAACTCTGGGAAGCCAAGTCGCAGCACTACCTCACCACCTCTATAGCTCTCACCCCTCTGCTCATGCCTGGAGCTTCTGCAAGCACAAGGTTACACTCACCTAGCCTTCACCACATTCCCCCAGGACCCCCTCCCTTTACGAACATCTGGAGTTCCCAGGCACATTTGGAGCTATCACCTCCACATAGACCCGAAGTTCCCTAATCTACATCTGGAGTCTATATATATGCACGTGGGTCTCCACACAAAACGGAAGCCCCTTTCCTCTCCCACCTCTGGAGCCCTGAACTGGCTTTGGAAGTCCCCTCCTATCCCCAGCCAAGACTGGAAGGCAGATGGATGAGGGGAATGCGTCAAGTGCCCCAGCCTGGTTCTAGCCAGACCCAGTCCTGCGTTACCAGCCACAGCGAGTTGAGCACACAGGAGGAGGCAGCAGTAGCCGCCGCAAAGCGCAGCCCGAAAGACACGGGGTCCCGGCGCTGCCATGGACGCGGGAGGGAACCGGGAGTCCGTGGACAGCTGGTGTGGCGCGTCCCTTCTGGACTCCGCTCGCAGGAGCTTGTGGGGAGAGAGACCCGGGCAACCGGGGCGTGGCCAGTAGGGGTGTGACCAATAGGAGTGGCCGGGTGGGGCGGGGCTCTTTGGTAGGGCGGAGCCATCGAGGGCGGGGCCAGGTAGGGACGTGGCTGGGCTAGTCGAGTTGGGGCGGGGCTTGGACAAAAGGGGCGGAGTCCAGGACTTGGTGTAGCCGGGCGCAGAGCGCCCCCACTGGTAGCTGGGTGGAAACGGTTAAGTAGGGATTATTTTTATCCCTGCTTCATAGGTGAGGAAACCGAGGCTGAGAAAAGGTGACTTGTTTGAGGTCACAGTGGCAAAATATGGATTTGAAAGTGAAGTCACTTTGGCTCAGACCAGGCCTTTAGGGTGCAGCCTCCCAGCAGGCCCTATGGAGGCTAGGACGGGTCTCAGCTATCCCTCACCTCTGGCTGCTTGTACCCAGCTTTGGTGTTTTCTCTCGGCCCTCACACCATCCCCCAGGACCCTCTTCTGCCTTTCAGCCCTCCATCTTGTCTGCCTCACATCCATCACATCCTCTGGCCAAGCCACGAGTCATGCCCTTACCAGGTCAATAGGGCCTCTCTGCAGCCCTCCTAGGGCCTCCTCTCCTGGCCCAGTACCACTCTTTTGCAGCCACTTCTCAGGTTCCTTAGGGGCACCTCTTTTTTCTCTTCTCCTCGCTCCTCCTCCTTCTCCTTCTAACCCCTTTTAAATTGATGGTGGCTCAGTTTAGTTCTGAGCCCAAATTCACACTCTTTTGGGGTCATCTTGGCCATTCCTCTGTCACCAGTCCCCATTTAAAAGCCAACAAGTCACCGGGCACGATGACTCAGCTTAAGCAAAAGTGAGGTGCTAAGTAACTCAGTGAGACCCTGTCTCCAAATAAAATATAAAATAGGGCTGGGGATGTGGCTCAGCCCTATTTTATATTTTATACCCTGAGTTTATTCCCTGGTACCAAAAAAAGAAAAAAGAAAAAAAAAGAAAGAAAGAACGAAAGAAAGAAAAGAAAAAGAAAAAAAAAGCCAACAAGAAGTCTCCAATTTTCACCTCCCAGGCCACTTCTGGCCACAGCTGCCACACCTGTAACTAATAACACATAGCCTACGATCACTGAACCCTTACTACCAGCAGAATGTACATTCTACTAAGAGCTTTCATTTGCAGCCTCCCATCTAATGTCCACAATTAACCTGTAGGCATGGGTTGTGCCACCCCCAATTTGCAAGGTGCTTAGGGACACAGACTCAGCAGACTAGTCTGTGAATCCAGCCTCCAATGAAGCTAGAAGCCACCCTCCCTCTGCCATGCCTCCTATGGGTCCCCTGCTTCTTGGGTCCTGAATGTCCTCAGGTGTCTAATATTGCCTTGTCCCTTTTCCCCACTCAGGGAGGCCCCATCATACCCCTTTAGTCACCTGGGCTGGGAACCATGATTTGACCTTCACCTCCTCTCTCCATCCCAGCCCCCGAAATTAAAATCCTTCATACTCCATATCTAGGTGTCCCCTGGGTCCGGTTTCCTCATCCTCCTTCTGCTGGCCTCACTGTCTTTCACCCTTCAGGCCAGTCTCCAAGCTGGCCTTCACAGTACCGGACTGTCCTGAAACCATGCATGGATCTGGCCACACCTCTTCCAATTAACAATTTTTCATCAATGCCGTGGCCTGGCCAATCCTTTGATTTCTTGCTCTAGAAGTCTCTGGCCTGTCCTGGGCTGTCTGCAGCACCTTTCTATGCCTCAAGGATATGCCTTTATCCTAGTTCCTCTCCTGCAGTGTGTGCATGTAGAGGGTCCTTCTCCATTCCCCACCACATCTGCCTGGCAAACTAATGCTTCAAGTCACCTCTAAAAGAGTGATTCTTGGAAAAAATAAAAGTCAGGTCATACCATTCCCTTGCTTAACCCATTCTAGTGCTTCTCCCCATCTACAGGCTTTCCCCTGCCCACCTCTCTGGGCTCAAACCCTCCCTTTCCCCTGTGCTCATTCAGTGTCTGTTCATTTGGCCTCCTCAAATTCTTCTCCTCCTCACAGACTGTGTACTTGCCATGCCTACTTCTTGAAATTTTTTCTTTCCTTCCTTCCTTCCTTCCTTCCTTCCTTCCTTCCTTCCTTCCTTCCTTCCTTCCCAGGGACACTTAACCACTGAGCTATATCCCCAGTCCTTTTTATTTTATTTTATTTTTTATTTTGAGGCAAGGTCTTGCTAAGTTGCTTAGAGCCTCACTAAATTGCTGAGGCTGGCTTTGAACTTGCAATCCTCCTGCCTCAGCCTCCTGAGATACTGGGATTACAGGTGTGTGTCACCATTTCTGGCTTCTACTTTCTTCAAGTGACTCTAAACTCCCTACCTAAAAAAATATCTCCTAGTTATTCTACATTACATCATCTGTTTTTTCCTTTGAAGCATGTATCAAATGCATAATTAACTACACATTTGTTTCCTGGGCAGAAACCATGTTTTTCTTTTTCCCTAGGGAACACCCTGCACGCGGAACAAGCTAAGTAGATGTTTATTAGTAGCCCTACAATACCATGTTGTGACTATTTGAGTACATGTTTGTCTGAGCCATTGGCCTTTGAGACCATCAAGGGTTTTCTATTTGACATATTAAGTGTCTCTTTTTTTAAGTTTATTTATTTTTTAGTGGTAGTTGGACACAATACCTTTGTTTATTTATTTATTTATTTTTATGTGGTGCTGAGGATCGAACCCAGGACTTTGCACATTCGAGATGAACGCTCTACTGCTGAGCCACAACCCCAGTCCCAAATGTCTCTTTGTAATTTGCTTATCTCTCCCCTTCTTTAAGGATCTCCTTAAGGAAGGCAGCAGGTTTTGTTCACAGCTATAACCTCTGTGTCTGGCAAATAGTAGATGTTCAGTAAATATACATTAAACATTGAAAATGCAGAAATGTGGCCAGATCATCTCTGTTTCTAGCACCCATCAAAACTCAAGCCAGGGAATCAGTGAATGCTGGCTGAATGAGGTTCATGCTAAGAATACATATACTGACAATGACTGGACCCACCCCCCGTTTGGGACAAGGTCCTCAAGTGTAGAGATTATCTGTGTCTCACAAGTATATGCAAATGGGGGAGGGATGGAGATATAGCTCAGTTGGTAGAGTGCTTGCCTCGTATGCATAAGGCCCTGGGTTCAATCCTCAGCACCACACACACACACACACACACACACAAACAAACAAATATATGCAAACACACACACACTCTCCTCGCTTTAGACTAGCTTTAGACTCCAGACTGGTGAAGAATGAAGAGGTAAAGAAGCCTCACCTGGAAGTGAGAGTTCACAGCCATCTGGTGGCCACCTGGCAAACTGCAGTATTGTCACCTTGTCTAACTTCACCCTAATCTCTCCTGGGAATGAGGGTGCCGTCTAAGCTAGCATGGGAGACACCCTGGGCTTGGTTACAGGTGAACCTGGCCTCATATACAGTTCTGCCATTTTTCTGTGTGATCAGGGTCAAGTTCCTTGGCTTCTCTGGAGAAACGGTCCCTTACCTTTGCAGGGTTGTTGTAAGAAAAAATTGGGCTCTGGTCTGGCACCTGGTAGGTGGGAAGAAAATAAGGAGGAAAGATTTGATAGGCAGTGATGGCCTCAATTGTCCTGTTAGCAAGAGCAATTCTGGTGCATGAGAGAGCGTACATTTGATAATACACAGCCTCACTTCAGTCTCTAGGGTCTCTGGGGTTTCTCAGGGTTAGAAATACCACCCATTTTGGGGCTGGGATTGTGGCTCAGTGGCAGAGTGCTTGCCTCACATGTGTGAGGCACTGGGTTCGATCCTCAGCACTACATAAAAATAAATAAATAAAAGTATTGTGTCCATCTACAACTAAAAAAAAAATTTTTTTTAAAAAAAATTACCACCCATTTTTTGTCCCTAGCTGCCTAAGGAACAACCTCCATGTGAAGGACATAGTAACTATCCATATCAGGAAGTTCACGACCAACCAACTACTGCATTGGAAACAAATGTCCTCTACCCTAGGATGCTAACTCTAAGACAGAAACACCAAAACATATAAGGCCACATCATATGTGAGCTTTGTCTTTGATAGTGGCAACACAACTGTCTAGGGCACTATCTATGATCCTTTGGATTCTACAAAGAAAAATGAATCCAGTTGCTGGGGCTGTAGCTCAGTGGCAGAGCGCTTGCCTAGCCCATGTGAGGCCCTGGGTTTGATCCTTAGCACCGCATAAAAATAAACAAATAAAATAAAGGCACTGTGTCCAACTACAACTACAAACATTTTTTAAGAGAAAAATTAATCCAAACATAGATGTGGCCAGTATGAGAAGAAAAAAGATCTCAAGAAAACAGGTAGAGGAACATGAGAGCAGAATGAGGATGGCAGTGGGATCCTAAAGGCCAAGCAACGTCGGAGCTGGCAAGAGGGAGGAGAGGATCTGTGGTGACTTTGTCTGCAGTGATGGTACACATTTCACCAGAGGATCAATGAATTATGAAAACTGCCACTCAAAAGTCTCTCATATGCCCGCCACGTTCTTATCAACCTCCCAGCACCCTTCACCTTTCTCTGAGACCAGAACTTTGTTGGGACCCAGCTCAGATGAGGGAGAAGATGGACATCTGAGTCTTGGGTGGCTGATGCCCTGTCCCCTCTCTCAGTCAACTCAAGCATGAATCCTGCTACTCTCACTGTTTCCCTTCACAGCAGCTCCTGTTTAGTTTAATTATCTATTCAACAAATATTTATTGAACACCTACTATATGTTAGGCACCACTTTACAGCAGAAAAGAGGACAGAGTCACTGCTCTCTCATGGAGCTTACAGTGGAACAGGACTGAGACATAGTTACCAAGAAAGGAAGATGAATAAATATATATTTCCTGGGTTTAGGGTTTAATAGCAGGTAGGGTTAGGAAAGGGGGAGCTCTTTCTCCATGCCCTACCCCACCAGGGTGCCTAAGAAGGGAGGCTGAGAGGGACTTGCCAGGAGAACAGAGCTGCTAGGTTTTCTGCTTCCAAGTTCTTCCCGGCTCCCCATCTCCTGCTGCTTCGGGGAAGTGCTCCCCCTCCTGCTGGCTTTCCAGATCCTTGAATAAATAATTCAGGTTTTAAAATCTTGCCAGGCCTACTCTCCCATGCTGTGAGGGCGCTATTGGACTGACATGAGTGATGTCACGCAGTTCCTTATTCCAGCCCCAACATCATGGGACCTGTCCTGGCAGCAACTTACTTGCCCAATCACTGTCCGCTCCTCTGCCCTGTTCCCCTAACCCTAGGGCCCACTTACCACAGTCACCTGGCATCTTTATTCCAGGACCCTATGACCCTCATCGGTTTACTTTGTCCCCTCAGTACCTCAGCCCTTGACAGGGTGATGGTGACCTGAAATCCCTTCACCTGGATACCCTATTTTCTCTTGCCACCACCTCTGCCACCCTGGAATCCTTAAACTCCATCACGCTGCAAA